CGCCCGTCCGCAAGTGCCCAAGCCCGCCCTCTCCCCTCGCGGTGCCCTTTGCGTTCCTTCCCGCTCCTCTCCCGGACCCCCTCCCCCTTGGTCCTCAGCGGCGTCCCTGTTCCTCCCGCCCTCTCCCCCGAGTCGCTCGGTCACTCGCTGGTGCCCTTGGGCGCGCGGTGCGTTGAAGGCGCGAGTCCCGGGTCTTCGGGATACCGGCTTTGGCCGCCAGAGAGCAGCAAGCGCCTGGGATCTGGGGACTGCGGACCGGACGGCGCAGTGCCGCTGCGGGTTGCCTCCTGGGACTGCCCATATGGATCTGCCGCACCTCCTTTTTCTCAGGCCACTGGCCAGGGCAGGGTTTCAGACACCTCTGCCCAGTGCGATGTCGTGAAGAGCGCCCAGGAAGGGTTGGAAACCTGTTCTGGGCTGAGGCTGGGTACGATGGGCTCAGGAGCAGGATGCTGTGGCTACAGCCCTCGGACCCTGCCCAAGACACGCTGGTCTACATACACTGTTACTTTTCTCTGTATCAGATGCGGGAATAAATCTTTCTATAGCTACCTACCCTAAATAAGGGGCCTTGTTCTTGTTCTGGCCTTGTTAAGAGGGAGGGTGTAAGTGCCGGAGGGTGGGAAAGGGCACTTGGCAGGATGGTTAAATGGGGCGGGTGTGAGACAGTCTGGCTCCGCATCTGAATCCAGGCTCCGCCCCATATTAACTGTGAGACCTCTTTGTGCCTCAGTTCCTCATCTGTAAAATGAGAATAAGAAGTGATGTCTACCTCCTGGCCTGAGGGTTAACTGAGTAAATATGGGTGAGGGCCCCAGAGAAGTGCTTGGGTATGTCAGCGGAGTAGGGCTTGTTCAGGGCAGGCTTTTAACAGGGAGGATGGAAGGCAGAGGAGGTGTGGGGCTGGTATGGACTCCGGATGCAGGTGTGGGAGAGGGTATGAGAAGCTTCTTGAGCAGCAGCAGGACTGGGTAGGGAGAGGCTCAAAGAAATCATACAGTTAGCCAACATAAAAATACCAGCTGCTGGCACATGGCAGGCACCATACTGGATACACTAACTGTAAGGAGGGTAATGCCATCTCATAGTTGCAGAATGAGGAGGGCTTGAGCCCTACCAGGGAGATGAGGGCCTGTTTGCAGAAGTGTCTGGGAGGGAACAGAGAACCCATAGCCCTAGTGTCCACTGGTTGTGGTTGACACAGGGGCAGGATGTCTGAGTTTTAGATGAGAAGCTGCTTTGGAGAAAAAGTAAAAAACTGGAGAAATGTTGAGAGATGGGTGACCTCCCTCCTCTCCATTGCCCAGTCCAGGAAGATAAAGCTTTTATAATCATATCTTGGAAACAGCTCTTCCATGGCCTTCCCCATTAAATCTTTTATTTTGGTTTTTGGAAACTTACTATAGTGAGTTGAAATGAAAGCAATGTGACTTCTAGGGATTAGCCAGCAGCTGACCAAAATCTTGGGTTTGGGCTTCCTCACTGAGAGGGGAGGGACAGTGGGAACTGAAAGGGGAGGCCAGGAGCTCCTCTCTGGGGAGAGTTAGATGGCAGGTCAGTGTCTATGGGTGGCTGCTGTCACGTAGTGTGGGATAGGTGCAACCCTGGTGGAATCCATTCGATTCTGGGACTGGCCAGTTTTCAAAGACTGGGAAGAGGAGACATAGTTAAACATGGAGCTGGGGCTGGGGTGCTGGGGACTACTTGACTGGTGTCACATAGAGATGTGTGCCTGATTCTGGTGTGGGGAGCCAGCAGAAGGCTGGTTGGAGGTGTTCCTGCCAGCAGGGTAGGAAGAGTTGTGGGATAGAATGCCTGGAAGAAGATGGGGAAGTCTTTCCCCATTTCAGGTCTTGGTGGTCCTCAGAAGTTCTGCAAGATGATTCCAGACGTTCTGGAGCTCTTGGGAAATGAATATGGAAGGACAGTGGTTGTGAGATCGTTGTGAGTTTCCTATACCTGCTTATCAGACGCTGAAATCCGGGAAGGGGCTGGCACAACGTGCTGGTGGCAGGGGCAACAAGAGAAAGAGCTGTCTCTCTCTGAAAGGAGATCTTAGCAGTGGAGGGCTGGGATAAAGCTCAATATAATCCCAAGCACACCATTCACACCCAGATCTTTGCTTGGATGCCTCATGAGCACCTCGAATTAAGCATGTTCCTAAGTTAAACTCACCATCTCTGACACTAAAATCTTCAACTTACTGTATTCACTTATGAAAATGGAACCAGCATCTATGCAATTGCAATTTAGGAATGCAATTTAGGAAACCTAAACTCCTCCTTCTGTTTTACTGTCCACCCCAAATTTAACCAGTCCTAGGGTGGTGTTGATTGTGTTTGCCTACTTGACTTTGTGAACCCATCCCCTTCTCTCCAACGTCTCTGCCTGAGGTCAGGCACTGATCATGCCTCACTCTGATTTTCATTCATACTCCAATAATGCCTCCTACTCTGTTGCCATATGGGTCTTCCCAAATCTGATCATTTTACTCTTTCAAAAATATTTCTTTGATAACTCACCACTGCTTTTAAGTTCACAGCACACTTAGTCTAGTGCGACTGGACTCTTTCCTGTTTCTTACCTTTTTTTTTTTTTTTTTTTGGTGGGGGAATGCTCAAAGTAAGTTGTTTGGAAGGCGATTTGTAGGAAGCATGTTGAGGTGGTTGTTTCTTTAAAATGGATGCTGCTTTGAAACTGGGCCACATCGGACCCTGGGATTTATTTGGATTATAAATGAATGAATGTGAATCATAGGCTTTTTTTCCTGAAATGATTCTTACATGAGATTTGTGTTCTAGCATCTCATACATGAATAGAATGCTGTCCAGAGGGACATCCTCTGGAAAAATGGCTAGAACCTTTCCTATCTGAACTCAGGGTCCAGAAACTGAGTCTCTCAGGCACATAGGTACAGCATTTTGCTTGCTTGTTTATTTATTTACTTATTTAGTTAGTTTTTGTAGTGACGGGATCTCGTTATGTTGCCCACGCTGGTCTCAAACTCCTGGGCTCAAGCAATCCTCCCACCTTGACCTCCCAAAGTGCTGGGATTACAGGCATGAGCCACCATGGCACCCAGCCTCCAAAGCATTTTGATCTGGAGTCTGTCACCTCCAGATTATCCTTAAGGATGATTATCCTTAAGGGCTTCCTGGAGGCAGTGAATTTCAGAGAGAGCTTAAATGCCCTTTGGGTCAAGAATTAACTTCCTTCCTTCATCATTCCTTACTTTGACTTGGTCTGTGAAAGTGGGACCATCTTTCTCTAAAGAAATGTTGGGGCCGGGCGCAGTGGCTCACGCCTGTAATCCCAGCACTTTGGGAGGCCGAGGTGGGAGGATCACGAGGTCAAGAGATCGAGACCATCTGGCCAACATGGTGAAACCCCGTCTCTACTAAAAATACAAAAATTAGCTGGGTGTGGTGGTGCGTACCTGTAGTCCCAGCTACTCGGGAGGCTGAGGCAGGAGAATTGCTTGACCCCGTGAGGTGGAGACTGCCATGAGCCAGATCGCGCCACTGCACTACAGCCTGGCAACAGAGCAAGACTCTGTCTCAAAAAAAAAAAAAAAAAAAAGAGAAACGTTGGTGGGCTTTCCGAAACTACCATGTGTATGACCCGTCAGTGTTCTCGGCTGAAGGATACTGCTGGGTTTATTCCTTTGGGTAAAATATTTGCCACAGGTGATAGAAGAAGAATGGTTGGGGCTGGTGGTAGCATCATTTGTGATATTGTGATGTGATGTGAACTCCTCTCCCTTATTCCATCAACTATCCTCTCAGCTGTCCCCATTAAAGTCAAGTTCCTAGCAGGCCATATATTTTCTAAATGCAGAGCCTTTCCTGGGGCAGCAAGGGAAGTCATCAGCAGTTTTGGCAGGAACTCTTACCTAAGAGCCAAACATTGGTGTTCTGTGCTTTCTCCCTATATGGTCTTTGGCAAATATTTGGACCTGGTTGTGTCCTTTATAAAATGGGGCAAATGGGATTGAACTAGATCAGAGATCAAAGCAAGGTAATTCTTTAAGTGAAGCCTTCATAGAAACCCAGTATAGACTGGAGTATGGTAGCTCACGTCTGTAATCTCAGCACTTTGGGAGGCCAAGGCAAGAGGATTGCTTGAGTCCAGGAGTTTAAGACCAGCCCGGGCAATATAGTGAGACCTTG